ACAATACATTGTTCTATGTACCCCAGTTATTGTTAGTGGGGACTATGATACTGTAATAATCTTTTTTAAGACTTCCATGCAGAGAGGCAGTCATTTCTTTTTTGGGACATATTTCTGCCAATTAAAGACTAGAAGGGCACAATTTTTTTTTTTTTAATACCATAGAGAAGATGCATAAAAAAAAAATCTTCTGATGTTTTGTAGCCATAACTAAATTATGGTTAAAATGTGCACTATTGTGAAAAGGAGCAAAGTAGGTTTGGGGTTTTTTTTGTTGTTGTTTGTTTATTTGTTTTGCTTTGTTTTTTAAGAGATTAAAATGTTTCTGGATAAGGATTAGCTTCTCAAAGTGTGTCCATCATTCTGTGTAGAAGCTTAAATATGTAATGTAACCAAACTCCAGTATTAAAAATCTCTCATGTTGTTTTTCTTTATACAAAACAAGATAACGGCATATAACACTGCCATTACATGGCAAAATGTTTGCTACCTTAGTTTAAAAACAATCTTTAAAACAAGACTTGCTTCAAGGTGTTTTTAAATAGCAGTGATTCAGAATTAAAAAAAAAAAAAAAAGTATAATTGCACTAAGCTCCCTGCTGCTCTGATTCTGCGTTCGTGGTACTTGTGACTACATTTTTTTCAAATATGGATAGATTTAAGCTGCTATTTTTTTTTCTCAGTAATCACTACTATATCATGTCTTTTACTCTGTTTATAATATCAAGTATTTTCTGAAAGATACAGGTATCAGAGCAAACCTCTTCTTGTGTTCACGCAACTAAAAGCTAAAATACACAGAATTTGCAAATGATAGCATGGGGCTGTGTTTATACGTGTGACTAACGGGGTTTGTCATGATTAATGTAAGTATCCACAAGTGTCCATTTTGAAGAGAATAGTCAAATTTATATCTCAAAGATTTTAATTAAGGAGTTGCTTATTATTAAGCTTAGCAAATTTATAACACTATTTCTGTCACTAATTGTTTTGAGGCCTTTACTACTAAAATTTTAACCTGTGTTCTAAGTGGAAGTAGAAAGCGATTTAACCCAAGTAACGCAGCTTTGATTTTCAGTATTTGTTGTTTTGCTACATCACAAAACAGCATTGATTGAAGCAAGTCTTGGTTTTACTAAGGTAGGATAGCATTTGCTATTGGTAAAGAGAATAAATACACTTAATTTCACAATACATTGTTCTATGTACCCCAGTTATTGTTAGTGGGGACTATGATACTGTAATAATCTTTTTTAAGACTTCCATGCAGAGAGGCAGTCATTCATGATGGTTTGTGCCAGCTGGTTTTGGGGTTTGGGATCACATTATAGATACTTAGAACTATTACCCTGTGACTTACGTAGGAAACCTAACATGCTGAGTATCTGGCACTTGAAATCCTGCTTTTATTGCTAGAGGTCCACATCTGTGGTTGACCTCTGTTGTTGTTTAAAAAAAAAAAAAATAAATAAAAATTTAAAAATCTGTGCAATAATTTTTAAATGTGCTCCCAGGAATAGACACAAATGTTTTGAGTAGGTTTAAGCTGCATTTTCCTTTAGTGATGCATCTGTCAATTGCACTGAATTTAAATCTGAAAGTCAGAGGTGATTACTGATAGTACTTTTGTATTTTGATATGGACAGTTTATTCATTTGCATAGTTATTGACCCCCCCCCAGCTGATTAAGAGATAGTCAAGAAGTTCAGTATAGCTGCCAGAGCAGACAGCTACATTTTGATGGTATTGTCACCTTTTCTTCCTTTCGTTCTTTTTTTTTTTTTTTTTTAAATCTTTAGCTATTTCACGTAAGCATAGTAGCCACAATAGGACGTATAAAAGATTATAAACACAGAGCTTTATTACCCTGAAGTCTTGGGTCTCTTAAGTACAGACCTTCCCGGGAGGGCACCCACTCTGTGGGCTTGGGTTCTCTGTGCGCATGCAGTTGCCCGTTTTTGCTGCTGTCCTGACGTCATCACTGCCTGCTGATGTGCCACGATGCTGCCCCCACGGACGACAGTAAGACTGCCTCTGATGTGAGCAGCAGCTTGACTGTAAGAGACCACGTTTCACGGCCTGCATAATTCTGTATTTGAGGTTCTCGGCTCGTTTTTCCTTCCTTTTTTTTCTGAGCGCTTACTCCTGAAGATCAACTGATTGCAGTGGATTTTCCGTGGTGTTCATTGTGTATCGTTGTATAAGCCGCTGTACGAAACTTACAAGGAAAAACAGAAAGGAAAACTTGCATGAACAGAGTACTCACTGATTAAGGTAGAATAAAGAAAGAGCAGCTGTTGCTCTTACACCTCATCCAGGAATAGCCTCTTTCTTCTCCATGTAGGAAATCCCATACGTTCTTGTGTCTGTTCCACCCCCCGTTTCTGTCACTGATCAGGTACCATCATTGACTTTCAAACGACTTTTAGAAGTGGTGACTTTTAATTTCCTAATAGATTTTAGAGTATATCGAATTCTGTTTTAATTAATAATTCTCTAGGTAAGTATGTTTTAGGATTAAACACCTTTTACAGATACTGAAAGTGCCTCCTTTTGTGGTGTAAAAAACAAATTATGGTGCAAAAAGTAATTATTAGATTGAATTACATGAAGGTTTTTTGCTTTTTGACATATAAAAATGTCAAGAGAAAGGCCAAAGATTTGTACTTTTTCACTTATAAAGCACTCCTTTTTTCCTTAGACTTCTTTCTGTCAAATTAGATTTAATGAGAGAGTACTATTTTTAAGGAGCTATCTGTTTATGTAGAATGATTTTGTTAAGAGTAATGTAAACTATTATTGCATAGAGGCCTGAAGAGTATGCATTTTTGCTATTTAAAGGAATCACAAATGACTGTCCTTATGTGAGCAAAAATGTTAAATTTTACTAGGTAAGCAGAAAAATACGTCTCAAATGCAGTGCTGTTTACTCTCTTCAAAACCGTTTTCATCATCTTAATAAGCACATTGTACATTTCTATAGAACCTGCATTTACTCTCACATGCTAAGGGTGGTGCTTGCGTTTGGTGAATTACTGTTGACTGTTTCCACAGAAATTCTATTTCAGTGGACCAACATTGTGGCATGGCAGCAAATGCCAACATTTTGGGGAATAGCAGCAAATCTACAAGAGACCCTGGTTGGTTTTTTTTTGTTTGTTTGTTTGTTTTTGTTTTTCCTTCTGAATCAGCAGGGATGGAAGGAGGGTGGTAGGGAAGTTACGAATTAACTCCTTCCGGTAGTAGCTCTGAAGTATCACATTCAATATCAATTTTTTTTAACATGATTCTAGTTAAATGTAGAAGAGAGAGAAAAAAAGAGTAAGTTTTCACTTTTTTAATACACTGATTTAGAAATTTGGTGTCTTATATCAGTAGTTCTCAAGTATTAATAGCATTCTTTTATTTCTGCCTTTACGTTGACAGTGTTGAAGCAGGGTGAATAACTAGGGCATCTTTTTCTTTCCTAGTAAACTGTTTTACGATGTTTTCTTTGGAGTTTCTGCATAAGTTCAAGAAAACATTCTGCATGTTGTATCTAAGTCCGATGTACTTATCCATCTCATTAAAAGCAAACACAGACTGCGTTTTGTGGCTCTGTGACCCCTAAATACAGAAGCAATTTTCTTCTTTCCTGACTTTGACATTGTAGCTATGATGTTCTTCTCATTTTGATTTTGGCAAATCCTTTGGGTCTAATTCTGTGAGCCTACCTATAGCACTGGATTAAAATGTCTGCATCATTTCTTTAGTTATCCAGTTAACTTTAAAACTGTTGTAAAAGTGTAAACCAGCCCATGACAGTTTTTTGTACGTGTTAAAGAACGTTCTTGTTCAGTTTTCATGATTCTTGTGTAAGGAAGACTGATCCAGATGTTCTCTGCTGTCCTGGACCATGTTAATTACACTCACGATGTACTTTGGTTCCACATCACAATGATTTGTCCCCAATGACCCTTTTATCCTTTCTAGGCACATTTTTGTTGTTGTTGTTGTTGTTGCGGTTTCCCTTTGCATTGTATTGCTTTGACAACTGTAATTTGAATCAGATCTGAAAGAGGTCCAGAATAAAATATATTTTGATATTATGTTGGCTGTGTACATATATGAAACCTTTGATATCTATGTAGTTTGTATAGACTATTTACTGGTCAAGTAAAGAGAGAGGGATGCTATTTCTTGTTTACAATTTCTTGTTTACATTTTAATTGCATTTACTCCTCCAATGTTTTATTGTAGAATAAACTTTTTTTGCTCTGAGTTAGCCTTCATGACATACAGCATGTCTATTCTCTCCCACACTGGTGTTGAATCAGTTATAACAACTGCCATCAGAACCCAAACCACTGTTTTCCATAAATGTGTTGTTTTCTAAGATAGATACTTTAAAGTAAGCCCATAGATAAAATCACAAATTTTACTATTTTATTACTTCTCACAGGAGATGAGATTTTTTAAATGAAGGGATTATTTACTATTTTTATTAAAGAATAATAGAGCATTTAATCAGCTAAGAAGTAACAATCACTTTTGAATTATTTTGGAAAATAATGCTGTATTTAAAGGACATTGTTTTCACGTAAACTAAAAGAGACCTCAGATTCGAGTTGAGCCCAAAACCGTGTGTATATATATGTTGCTGAAGATTTTAGGGCAGGACTCTCAACTTCCTTAGTGACATTTTTTTCTTCATATAAACCTATTCTAATTTAATAGTTTTCTTCCTTAGCTGGTTGCTTATGTTGCTAACAAACCTTACAATCTTTGAAGAATGATACCAGGCACCTTCTGGTTTTAATTAATCCCAGCTCTTAAGAGTTACTTAGA